TTTTTTTTTATTTGATCATTGTTACAAGTTGTGCTCATTTTTCCATGCTTTGTTGCTTTCCTGCTTGTTCCTAGTTGCGCCCAAAGCCTCTGTCAGAGCAGGAACAGTAATTGACAAGCTGCCTCCTTCAAGCTGGAGGGGAGAACGCAACTGCTTTTAAATTACACTCTGTAACATTCCAGCCTCTGAGCTCCTATCTGATGTCTTGCAATGCACACTTAAGGATTGGTTGGTTTGGGTTGTTTAATAGTATTGTAGAATAAAAAAAAAAAAGTTGAAAATAATATTTTTTTGTATATGCTTCATTCTTTCTTTGATTTATGTAGTTGAAATGTTGAGGATTTATACACATATGTTCTTCTCTGTCCTGGCACTAGTGTTTCTACTTTCACAAAGAACACAAATTAATGGGGAAAAAAGTCGTACTGATCTGAAAAACAGATGTCTAAAAAGGCCTTTTTAACGTTGCCCATAGGGGAATTACGCATTGCTGGAAGTGGGGCAAGGAAGATGGAAGACAATACTATAGAGGTTTAATTATCCAGCCATCAGAAATGAAAAGAGGGAGAAGGAGAACTGAGACTAATAATGGAATCACAGGCTTATGTTCTGGGTTTCTCTGTTTCTTTCGTTTTCTTTCTCTTTTCTAGCATCTAAAGAATTCATTCTCCAAAACGCACTACTTACCCTTCAATCAGCTTCCCATCACCAAGTCCAAAGGGTTCCGAGATGAATAGGGAGACAAAACTCGGATCTCACTCTTCTGTCCTTTTTATGTGTGAAGTGATTGAAAATCTCATCTAAATGACTTGAGGTAGAAAAGGAACGATCCAGGGACATTAATTATTGCCTGTCTGATGCATAGAATTGTATTTTACAGTATTGCATGCATCAAAGTTGTTTGATACAGTAACTATATACAGTAGCTATTCGGGCATATGTGTGTATACCCAGTTGCTGTATTAACACCAGTTTTCTACTTAATACATAATAACAGGACACTGAGAAGCATGTTGTCATGAAATTGGGGGCTTCCATTGCCAGGTCACTGATCGACATTCCTTTGTTTTATTTTAAAGCAGAGAAGCAGATTTTGCATTGAAATAATCATATTTTGGCAATAAACTGCCACCCTGTAAATCATATTATCAAAATTCCCAGCTAAACAGCAGAGAAACAAGAGAAAATTGCTTGGGCCATACATTTTTCTCGAAATCCTAGACAAATAACAAAAAACTGACCCCAGCTGAGACGGACCATGTCAATAGGAAATATATTTTGTTTGTTTTTGTTCACCCGATCTCTCTCCTCAACTGATGTACCAATTTTATTTATTTTAAAACTAAACTAAGTGCAGAATTCAATAATGTTATAAGTACAAACTGTAGTAGAACTCTGACTGAACGGAATATATAAGGCTGTTTGAAGAGGTTTCAGGTTATTTGCCTTTACTGATCTTTTTATGTGAAGTTTGGTTATGGTTATTACCATAAACTTTAAACACAAATGACCATAGACTTGTTTTCTGTACTTCTATATAAGTGTATAAGTACTTACTTTCTGAATTTGGTTAATATACGAAGCTATTGCCCCTTCATGACCTCAAATTAACTTTCAGTTATGGCTGAGGCCTGGCAGCCTGTACATTTTCTCTGATCTGTTATCTGACATTGCCCCCAGACCCCAGCTGATCAGATCCCATGTTGCACCCTGTTGATGTTGTGTTGTCTGCTGGGTATTGTTGTCCACAGATATAAAACGGATGATGAGGGCAAATCATTGGACTTGTACAGCAAGGCTGACAGTCCTTTAATTGGACATTACTCAAGGCCAAAACTCATATTTCTTGTTGTGCTTGATCTTAAGAGACTCTCAAATGCACTCCCTGCTGGGCTTCAATTTTTTTTGAATCAATAATTAATGGTCAGTTATTTATTCATGTGTATCGTTGCCAATTACGCAGCGTCTAATTAACAATTTCAATAATTGATATTTTTTTCTGAAAGGGTTCAGTATCTTGGGCTGATGAAAAATGTATGAGCGGGGATGTGGACTGGGTTTTGTTTTTTGTTCTGAGAGAGCTTGATGCTCGGGGCTAGTACCAGGCCACTTTGACTCCAACTCTTTGAGTTGGCGCTGGCCCTGTGATGTGGATCTAATATGGGCATCTTTCATGGACCCAACGCGCTTACTCTGTACCATGTGATCTCTTAAAGACTCCTACATGCTCATCCTCAGATACCCTTTTTTGGTCTTTAATATCAAACTTCAAAGAATAAGCTTCTGTTTCCTTGATAATTTTTCTTTGTGTATGTAGAATGACGATATCCTGGCAAACTGTAGAAACTCTTGGTCTGACTAGGACCTCAGTGGTTACACTTCTAAATCTAACTCTGTGGCCTGATGAAACTAAAGTTCAATCACTATACTAAAGATTTATGAGAAGCCATATCCCCTGATCTTTTTTATAGTGACAGCTGTAGTAGTCAATAGAAAATGAACAAAGGCTCCCTTTAGTTAACTTTCATCAAGTTTTCGTTTATTGTGATTCCAGTAGGACAAGAGGTTGGGGACCGGCGAGGCAAACCCTTTTGCTATGGGACGACCAAAGCAAAAAAGATCATCACTATTTATTGTGAGCATTGCTTGAGCACTGAGGTGGGAAGGAACTTAACCCAACAATGCGAAGCAACCCAACAAAACCGGAACCCAACATCAGACACACCAAAATCCCCATCATTAAATGTATAATTTCAGGTTTGGACACAACAGTGTTGAGACCACACTGAAACAGTGCTGGCATTAGGGGAACAAGAGGGTGGAAAGGTTAACGTGGGGCTCAGTAAGGTTAAAAAAGCTGTGAATCAGTTGCTCTCAGTGACACGTCTCAGAGATCCAAAGGTTGGGCTGGTGCTTCCCCACTCGCTGTGCCTCCTGTACTCTCCAGGATGCAAGAAGTACTGGCGTCCCCTGTAATTGGGGTGTTCATGCAGAATCCAGTAGCCCTCAATGACATTGACAGAGGAGATGTCACGGGTGTGGAAACGCTCATTCAGATCTGGGCAGTCTTCCATTAGCTCCAGATTCTGGCCCGCAAAGTCAGACCGCTCAAAGATCTTCATCCTGTAGTTCCCGGTATACTAAAGAAGAAATGATGAGAGACTAAGACGATACTGCCATATAATCTAAGCATTTGTTCAACTTTATATTACCACAGTCAAGTAGAACAATAAACAATTTGATTAACTTTTTTCCTTACTAAACTTGTCCTGATCCAATGACCCAGTTTATTTTTACTACAGTTATAGGTCAAGCTAAAAAGAGATCTTTTAAAATAGCTGCAGGTACTGGCACTGAGTGGTGAAATCAGTAGGACTAGGCTTGAGAACTAAATGATCCTAAAATGGCACTTCTTCAGAAGAACTTTTAGTGAGAACATTGCTGCAAACAGAGTAGGGCATCAGTTAAAACTCACAGGTGGCACCATACGGCAGGAGCGGATACAGTCATTGAAGCCTGCCCAGCGCTGGTAGTCCGGGTACTCGCCCTTGTGCAGCATGTACTGGTAGCCGCCATAATTGGGCTTCTCGTAGGCCACCCAACAGCCGCTCTCCACTCTTATCGAGTTACAGCGGCTGAAGTGACTTTGCATCTCAGGACAGTCACTGCTGCACTCATAGTGACGACCCTGGAAGTTCCTGTCTTCGTAGAAGATAATCTGCACATGATGGATAAGTGGACATCATCACCACAGCACTATGCCAAATACAAACTAACATACAGTTTATATGTATGACTAGTTCTCTGTTCTTCCACTGTTCAGACTCTTAAACAATAATAACTTTTAGTCTGCATGGTTTTCATCACCATACCATTTGATATGAGCCAGGTTTGCAAATTAGCTTCATCCAACAAAGTTCTTGTTACTGAAGAATTGTAAGTGAAGAATTTTTGAATAGAGAAGTTTAAGGGAGTACGAAAACATTTCCCAAATGATTTACTAGAAGCAAAGTTAAATAAAATATAGACAAAAAGTCTTGGCCTAGTTTTTACAGGAATTAAGACTCTTGACAGAGTTGGATTAATTGCAATTTTACTATCCTCAACAGATGACAAAGGCATAATTTAACTATAGTTATAACTTACTAAGTCTTATTTTGCATGTTGTTTGCTTTCATTAATTCAAAAATTTACCACTAATATCTAGCATTTTGTTACATCCCTGCATATGTTTTGAAAACATGGTAAACTTTAGAGCTACTGACCATAACACTTCTACCCACAAAAGCTTGAGTTAACATTAAATGAAGGTCTTAAGCATTTTATGTGAAAAAAATAAATTCTTTTTGAGTGTGTGTTTGCAGCATTTATCATGTCAACTGCCATTTTAGATGCAAATTATCAATATATCACACATCAAACATTCAAGCTGCTTTTACTATATAGATTTTAAATTGCACGCTTACCTTGCCCATTGTAACTGTGTTAAGTTCACAGCAGACCAGACATCGGGCTGTACCAGACCTCTTTATAGACCCTGCTGGGATCAGGGCTTTGCAAATGTGAAACAAAGCTTTGTCGTGTCAGCAATGTACGCTCTATAGACTGCAGAACACTATACTGTTGGACTGGTGAGCTGCAGCAGCCCTTTTGTCTCTGTCAAATCTCTGTCTATGGAAAATACTGTACAACTGCACTTTCTCAGAAGGCTACAATAAGAGTTGCAGCATCTGCCTTTATTGGCATGAATGACAGAAATCTACATGCAGACTGTGAGCATTGGCAGGTCAGCAAAGAGAAAAGGTTTGCTTTCTTTCAATAGGTATTTGACAGTGACAGATCATTAAGCAGCCGGCTTTTAACGGGGGAAGATTTACGCTAAGCAGGAAGCAAATGTCCTGCTTGACCAAAGAGTGTTATTGTGTTGCATGGATTTGTTCAAATAAGCTCAGAAAGGACATTGTTTTTTTATCAAGTGTTTAATTTGAGTTGTGCATAGTTTACATGAGAGTCCTCATCCTCCTGAATGAGCCCACCATGGGGTTGTGGCAGCCCCAGTCACCACAGGCCCTGTACTCTCCAGGGCGCAGGAAATACTGGCGTCCCCTGTAGTTAGGGTGCTCGTAGAAGATCCAGAAACCCTCCATGATGTTACAGGAGTAAATGTCACGGTAGTGGAAACGCTCATACACGTTAGGGCAGTCATCCATGAATTCCATCATCTGTCCCATCATGTCAGGCCTGTTGTAGATCCTCATCTTGTAGGATCCTCTATACTGTATGTGACAGAAACCAGAACATGATTATTATGCTAATTTGGTAGAGAGCACTTTGGTAGAGCTTTCTGTCCTGAGCTTTTTTCTTATTTCTTCAACTTTGAATTCAAGTAAGTACTTGTGCTACTTTCTTTAAGTAAATAACTACAGATGAGAAAGAGCAACAACTATTCTGCAGCATGACAGAATTTGATATTCCCCCCCCCCCCCCCCCCCCCCCCCCCCCTCCCTAAACTGCCAGAAACACTCAATGTGACTAAGAGAATTAGAATGAAGGCACCAAATCTTATGTGGGTGTATTATATTCCTTTTAAAGGCTGACTGTGTCTCCTTGTGGGCCTTCCAACAGAGACTTTATTGCTATGACCTGCCTGAGTATCTGTAAATGACATCAAAAGGCCAGTGATTGACATCCATTTCTAAAACAGCATTTGATGTACAAGGTGAGCGGTGGGGGTTGGCGGGACTACCACTTCTATCTTTCTGTTTGATTGACTTACAGGGGCGAACATCTGGCAGGAGCGGATGCAGTTGTTGAAGCCCATCCAGGTGTGGTAGTCAGAGTACTCGCCAGGGCCAAGGATGTACTGGTAACCCATGTAGTGAGGCTTTTCATAGGCCACCCAGTGACCGCCGCTGACACGGATGGAGTTGCAGCAGTTGAAATGCCTGTAGGTGTCCATGCAGTCACTGCTGCACTCCCAGTGGCGGCCCTGGAAGTTGCGGCCTTCATAAAAGATAATCTTGGGAAAAGAGAGAGAAGCATGTATCACTTAAGTTAATGTTAGGTGTGTACATTTACTAGTTGCAATACTCATGAATGCACTGTAGGGGACACTGCTCTCCCTTGAACAAAATTGCTTTTTCAAGAGTCCTTTGAGTGTACAAGCCTCTCCAGTCTGCTGTTCTTGTATATTATTTTCTGTGCTTGACAGGTGAAAATCAAGGCAATTGAAAGTTGTGTTATAGCTGACTTTTATTTAAAGAACAACTCATTGTATGCTCGCCCAATCTGAACACTGTCAACTTCTCAAAATTAAGGAGCCAGAAATTGTTGCTGTCATACAGATGCAATGAATATGTCATCTACGGATGCCACGTAATTGTTGATCTCCACAGAGGCTTCCCTTTTAAACACCTATATGTGGGTTTTTCCACCCCAAAATAAGTCATTCTGTTTTTTTGTAGTTATTATCTTTACTTGAATGACTACTTTTGCATCCTCTCCTCCTCTCTGCTGCATTTTCTATATTTGACACATGTTCCCAAATCATGCCATTTTCCTTCTTCACCTCCTCGTCAAAGCGTTTGCCATATTGCATGTGAGCTCACCTTTCCCATGGTTGCAGGGCTGTGGATGTTTTGCGCACCATGGACACACTTACAGGTCCTTTTATACTCTCCCACTGATGATGAGGCCTCTGACACGTCAGGGACTACTACTCTTTACCTTTTCAAACTACTGTTCCCTTTTGTCTGACAGCCCGCGGGTAACTTATCTGTCTGCTAGAGTTTACCTATAGAATTGACAACCCCCCCCTCCCAAAAACGCCACACAATGCTATATGCTATTCTGTGTTTGTATGACCCTTGTTCCGTCATGACCTTGTGATGCAGCCTTTTGAAATGTCACACAAAGGCCCTTTAGGTATGTGGCCCCCAACAACAAAGCCTTTAAAGTGTACATTGGGTTAGGTCATTTTTGGGGGGCTCGTTCTAAAAAAGTACTTAACCATGTCAGGATTTTCATTTCATGTCTTGCTTGCGTGGAAAATTATAACATAGTTACCTTTCATTCAGTCCCAGTTGAAGTGAGTTTGGATTGTTACGTTCCCTAAGTGGTACAGGTCACAATGTAATTGTTATTCAATTCCTGTTAAAGGGAAAGTGGTGTTGATACTGTGGACTGAGTCAAGCTTTTGTGTTGATGTAATCTACAGTGATCTGTTGTCTCTTGCTTGCTTCCATAGCCTGCAGTTGTACTATGATGCCAGACGGGACTGGTCTGTTTGCAGATGTACCGACAGAACTGTGTAGTGTGTTTGTCTGTGTGTGTGTGTGAGTGTGATATAAAAGGCGGGGTTTGGGGCATCTGTGTGGTTGAGTCTTTGTATAAAATGATAGATGTTTGGACTTGTCTTTAGCTTGTAAGCATAGCCCAGAGCTGAAGGGGAAAAGGCCAGAATGATTTGCAGCCATGCATTGTGTTCCCAAAGCCCAGCTGATGCCAGAAAGGTCAGTCTCATCCTTTAGCCTTTCATCAGGATAAAGGGCTCGTGCCCCCTCTCCACTTTGTGTGCTTTTTGCAGCTTCAGTTGTGTAAAAAGGCAAATGTTTTCAGAAAGCACAATAGCCATTATGTTCCTGGGGGGAAAAACTGCTACTGTGGTAGTATAGCCGGAGCCATACGACACTATTTCAGTGTTAAGGAACAGCGTTGATAAGCTTTTGCTCCTTTGATCATTCATTGACTTGAAACTCTCATAGGCTTCAATAGCTTTCATGTTTGAAGCTGCACTCTTTTTCTATGACATAAGTAGATCATTGATATCCTTTCATCACAGTGTGCAGTGTAATTGTGGCAGATTATCAGATGGGATGTTGTTTTGTTTTGTGTGTTTCTCAAGCAAATATTTACTCAGGGAGGAAAGGTTTTATCAGAACATATAAGAAACAAATGTTTAGATTTTCCTCATATGTTCATTCATAGATTAATGATTTCTTTCATCATGCCTATTAAACATAAAATCCTTGTAACCAATCTTGATGCAAGAGGGCAGCAGAATGACAGGGAAACCATACTCTGGCTGGAAAGCGCTTTTTCAAGCTCTGCGTGACACAGTAGCAAGCATTCACTTTTCTGAGGTGTCTTTGAATGGGACTCTAGTAGCTCCAAGGCTGCTGCTCAGCGTGACCTCTAACCTTTCTATTGAGGGAAGAACGGTAACTGCGGTGCAATACAATGTCTAAACCAAGAACAAAAACTACCAGTGCCATCATTGTCATTGTTCTGATTTTCATCACTGAGGAACATCAGCTAACCCTAACTCATTAGTCGGGACCTTGGCTCTCTCCATATCTCTGTGGCGTCCAGAAGGGAACATTGTTTCACAGGCTCTCAAATGATCATCTTTAGCTGTGCTACAAGACATCTCCTCCCCACCCTGAAGGGAAAGTAACATCACAGAGGCCCTTGCCTGCTTTCTCAGTTCCCCCAGGAGGAGAAGAAAGCTACCCGCTGTGGAGCATTCCACTCTTCATCTCAGAATGACGGAAGAAAAGGAAAGGAGAAGGGAACAGAGTGTGGGGCTAGATTTGCAGCTCCATTGTGTCCGAGGATCTCAATGTGCAATCTGTGTAATCGCGTGGGAGATGACGACACTATTAGCCCGCCGAATGACTGTCAGTTGGGGACCTCTGTGATTGATGTGCACCCCACAGAGATAGGAGAAACTTTGACAGATAGCAATCCCTGCACTAGTTAACTTGCAACCTTTTTCATCTATCTGGCTTCTAAAAGAAAAACCCATCCGTGGAGCTGATACCTAATTAGAATGTGAATGTGCAATTCACTCAGTAAAACATATTTCAAGTCATAGGAGACTTCTTTCAATTCAAAACAAATTGTGGTCCCTTTCCAAACCATGGTGTCTCTGACTCCGCTGTATACAATAAGCCTAACCCCTAAAATGTTGTTGGGAGAGATAGGAGAACAGCCGCGCTTGCAGTGCCTCCAATGTGCTCTTTTACTGAACAGTCATTACAAAAACAGTGTAGTACTGAGGTGTAAACAAGGGGTCTATGTGAGTTTTGCTCCTGAGAACTGGCTAATCTGGTGCTGAAAATGTGGTATGATCGGAAAGCGCTCGCCAAAAAGCCTCCCACGCCGGGAGTAGAATGAGGACCTCTGTTTTGCTGAGAGATCATCCTCTCCATTCTTTCTGTCAGAAAATCTCCAGGCATCCTCCCTCTCTTGTCACTGCCAGCGCACAGGCTCTATCGGGACTGCCAGACGCAGGATCCACTATGAGCCTGTGCCAGGGCCAGGATTTACCGCGATGCGTCTGATGTGCTCCATCTTTTTGCTGGGGGATAATTAAAAGAGGAAATGGTGTTGGAAGAACAGAGTGGAAAAGCAGGAGGAGGGGGCTTGGACCGAGCAAATGGATGCAGCTGTCAATTATGTTGAGTTGTTGATATGTTGTTTGTTTTCCGCTCTTTGAGATTTTGGGTTGAACCGCTTCCCCATCAGGTTTTATTTGTAAAGTTTCTGGTAAATCTCCACTCCATATGTGTAATAAAAAAACATTTAGGTTAATGAAGAACTACTCTTAGCAATGAAATCACCATATTTTCCCTTAGTTTGAATTTGATGGCCTGCAGGTGATCATTTTGGTGCAACAGTGAAAGAAAAATCTTTCACAAACATCTACTCAACTACTGTACTTCTAAGATTATACCTGCTTTATAACCTGGGAGAAGATCCCCCTTAGGACTGCCATACCAGTTCCACATTTGTGATAAAGTGATACCAAATTGGCTTTAAAATATCACAAATTTATTATGTACATAATGTCTTGTGTTCAGAATTAAAGTCGAAGTTGAATTGTCTTTTGCAGCAACCAGTTTCTTGTTTATGGTGGATTTTTCTTCATGTCAGGACAAGCTGTCTTTGAGGAAACCTGGACTGTTCAAATCATTCAAGCAACTTCTTTACTTGACTACATCGATTTGAGATGCTCCACCATACAGCATGACCCAAACTCTGTGAAAAGCAGGACAACTCCTCAGTCTCTCTGCAGACACACCAGGGGGAGTTGTGGCTTTTAGTTGCTCTCACTCCTCATCTTCACACTCTGTTTTGACGTGGCGTGTCTCGCATGCCCCAAAGCTTTAAAGGTTTAAAGAGCAACTTTTCACCCTGTAATCCAGGTGCCTTTCAAACAAGTCACGCTGTTTACTGACACATGACAAAAAAGTTCAACCCCTTCTCATCTCTCTGCTTACAAGACTGTAACTCACCTCAGAGCCTGGTAGTCATTCCTCCAGAGCGCCGTGAACAAACAGAGCCTCGGCGAGAAGGGGCCCCTGCCTTTCACCACTCACTAAATTTGTAATCAGATGTGATGCTGTTGTTCACTTCTTCAAATTTGTCATCAAAGCAAATGTGTTCTGACAACAGCTAGTGACAAGTGCACCAGAGGAGAGGCAGCAAATCAGCTTTTTCACACCGCGTATCAATTATTGATCATTTTACCCCCCACCCCACCCCTTCCTCCCCACCCCAGCAAGTAGACACCTTGTGATAATGAAATACATCAATTTAAAAAATAAATAATAAAGTGGGGTCGGCTCCATTGTGACAAAGCCTTAAGAGCTTGATTGACTGCCTGCACATTTTCCTCATTGGCAGTCAGGCAGATCAAAGGAGGGTTCTTCTTATTGCCCAAGGCCACTTGCAATTTATTTAGAGGAGCAGTGCTGCTGTCCCAGCAGGTAACATTATTGGGCAGAGACACTCAGGATAATCATAGCTTTGAGGTGCCTCTCAAATCCCACCTCTGCTGACTCTATCATGCATGCGCCAAAAATACATGCATATGATTTACAAAAATCCTTCGTTATTATATTAAATTAAGCAGCAGATAAGACTACATTAATGTCCTTGCAGGGAATATCCAGTTGCTCAAAGGCAGTGACCTTCGCTGCCCTAAATATGTTAGGTTATATTAGTTTTGGCTAAACATGTCAAGATGTTTTTTTTTTTAACATCATCTTGGATTACTGGATTATTTGAAAATATTTGATTTTTATGTTAAAATTTACAATGTGTTTCTCTAATAAAATGTTCTCAGCTATTAAACAAAACATCAAAGCATTTTTTATCTAACAATTTACAGTATTCTCACAGGGGGAAAAGTTCCGCGATGTGGCATGAAAAGAAAATGTTTTCAACGCATGTACAATAAATATGATTGATTGAAGGAATTAATCATCTGATGGGATGAACACATGGAATTATAAAAAGTTT